CCCCAAAACCCCAAAACCCCAAAACCCCAAAACCCCAAATTCTGTGGCAAAAATTGAACTAGAAGGCGACTGGTTTAATCGTACTGTTGATACTCTGGAGCTGCTCCAGGATTGATCATAAATCTTCCTTTTCATTGTTATGGTCATGTTTGGCTTGGCCTTTGGGCTGGAGAGACCTAGCTGGGATATCTTCAACAGAGGCCTTACTGAGTAACTCTTGGAGGTCTTTGAATACTTGAGTTTGCTCTTTGAGAATATCTATGAATTATAGAATCATAAATTACCCATTCTTGAAACTCTTTTAGTAAACTGAGGGATATTCAGATTTTCTCCTATGCCAAGTTTCAGGCTGGTAAGGTTCCTACTTACTACTTTTTAGCTTCCCGATAGATTTTGGTTGGTCAGATACCTCATGAAGCTCCTTGATATTACTTCATTCCGGATTTGAGTACTGTATTTGCTGATTTGAGCACCCTGCTGAGGTGCTCTCAACTTCATGATTTTCTCCTCTGATACACTTGAGAAGGTTGTGTTTGGAGACTTTCAGCTCTAATTTTTAACAACAAGGCTACCTATGCTTATTTAGTTTCTGAGTAAGGGTAGAGTTCATCTCTTCCAGCCTAATTGCCTTCTCTTGGAGCTGTTGGTTGTCACAGACGATTCCAGCCATTCTGGCTATTTCAAACTGTCATTTCTTGTAGTTGCTCTCCATCTCATTGAGTCTAAGCTCTTTCTCTTGCAAGGACCTGACTGAAGATTTCAAGAGGGCTCATTCCTTGTGTTTGTCATCTAAAAATCAACTCATATGTAAATTACCAAGCTGTTGTTTAATTAAAGTGGCTTCATCAGTTCTCTTCTTCAACTTATTTTTGGAGAACTTGGTTTCTATAGCATATTCAGAGATAAATTTACTCACCTCTTTGTAAACCTCGAGACTGATCTTGACAAATCTCTGATTTTAGCCTCTAGATTGTGAGGAGATGTCATACCTGCTTTCTCTTTGTAATCTCTCTCTAATAAGATCATCGAGGTTTTCTCCCGTTCTTGGTCTCTATACCATTTTGTGTTGTCAAATTTATATGAAATTTTAGTAAAATTTTGGAAAACAAGACTAAAATTTGCTAAATCTTCTAGCTAGAGAGACTTTTATAAGTCCTGAGCTTGAACAGGCATTGAATAGCAGAGTCTTACGCTATCTTTTGCTCAAATTCATCAAAGAGGTACCCTCAATCTGTTCTCTCTTGGTCTAAGATGTCGTTGGCAAGCTCTACTTCCCTTTCGAGGATATCCTTTTTATCCTGGAGCTCACTGATTTCTCTATTTTAAGTCCTATTGATGTTAGAATATTCCTTACGTCAACTGTGAGAGCTAGTTCAAGATGTTCATCACTGATCCCGAGGTCGTCCAAGGAGGATTGGGACTCAGGGACTGGAACTGGGCACAGATTTGCTAAACTCTGCTTGATCTCTTTGTACTTCTTCCTATTCAAAAGTTATGGATTTCAGGTCGGAAATTTCCCACCCAAATTCAGAGAATTTTGAGGCAACCAAGCCCAAGGCAGGATTTAGAAGTAATCTAGCAGCCTCCTGGCAACCTTTAATTAGGGTATTTTAGGCCATCAAAGCGGGAGTTAACTTACCGATGAACCTCAGAGGTCTGGAATGACCCCAACCAATCGAGTAATTGCTCATTTAGACTTTTAAGGAAGTTTATATTGGAATTTGAATGCTTCAGACTGTCTTTTAAGTGCTTGTGCTCCTTAATGCTGGAATACTCCCTTTCCCGTTCTGTAGGACTCCTTCTAGAGACCTCTTCTTCTGCCTGGTTGTTATTCAGCATGGAATTCTCACATATAAGTTCATCTATTTTAAGTTCTAAGAAATTGATCCTTTGCTGTAGGATGTATTCAGTCAGGGCGTACTCAGGGACAAACCCTGGAGGGTCTTCATCAACTTCTTGGTCAGGATGGAAAATTCTGTACTGTAGTTGCTCCTCAAGGTCCTGAATCCGTTCTTTGTATCGCTTCTTATCGTCATTCATTTGCTTTAAGAAGGGATTTACAGACATTTCTTTACTTGAGAGACTATTCCTGTTTTCTATTATAGTAGTTTTCATAGATTTTGCCTTTATTCCAAATTTAATCGTATTTCAAGATTCGAACTGGTTCTTGTACAGTTGGCTTATCGTTCAAATAATGAAGGTCTTTGAGTTCCCGCTCAAAGATTTTTCAAGAATTCTTGTGAGTTTAGATTCCCTGAATCCATTATATTTGCTCCTGCTAGGCTTGCTCAGGCTACTGATGGTGTTGGAAAGGGAGAGGAGAGACTTGTTGATGTTCACACCTTCCTTAAATCGCATCCCTTTGGATTCAGCCCTTCCTGCGCTCTCACTCCCAGCAAGATCAACAAGGACGATATCTGACTTTTGAACTATTTTGTCTTTGATGATTTCTAATTTTATAGTGAAAATTGTATGGGACCTTGAACTTCAATGGTTGGCTGCAGTCGCAGCTACCTGACGAATGGCTTCGCCTCTTTCAAGCCATTCAAAGCTAGATGCCTCGTCTCATACTTCTTCTTCAGAGAGGTTCTTAACAAAGGTGTCTCCAGTTTGGGGATTTATCCTGAAATCAAGATTCTTGTTTTCCTCATTAAGCAAATCATTAATAGTCTCGTTATAAATTTCAAGGTAACTGACTCTCATTTTGAAGTTGGCTTTAATATGATTTAATTTTTGGAAAATTGCGGAAATTGACAAAGGGATTATGCCCCTCTCTTCCTGAGATCCCTGCATTGTATGAGTCTTTCCTGACGAAGTCTGCCCATACACTAGCACAGAGATATTGATTCCGTTAAGAGCACTTAAGATTTGATTGAGGATGCAAGTTGAGAATATATCTCTTGTTTTATTTATCACCATCAAAGACATGATCGAATTGATAGCTCTCTGATTTATGCTCAGTGGTCATTATAAGAGTGTCCCCACCTACCTCTCTCCACTGTAAATTCCGTTCATCCTTAGCCTCTTCAGCTCTGAGAGGTTTGAGTCTGATGCTGACATTAATATTTTGCTCCATTTGTATAATTTAAAATGTTTCAATGATGTATAACTTTTGTGGGGTTTTGGGGTTTTGGGGTTTTGGGGTTTTGGGG